GATCATCTCAGCCTCCAGCTTGACCTTGATGTTCAGCAGGGCCTCGTACGCAAGGGCCTGGTGCTGCCCCTCTGCCAGGTCAGGGCCAGCTCTGACTCCAGGTGCAGCAGGATCCCGTTGAGCTGCTCCATCTGCATGGCATAGTGCATCTTCACCTCCCTCAGGCTGTTCTCCAACCTGGCCTCAGATTTCTCATCAAGTCCAGGTTGATCTTCATACATCTCAGCTCCATGAATGTCAGCTCAGCGGCTCCTATCATCTCACTGGTCTGCAAGGTGACCACTGTGGTGCTCTCCTCAGTCTGCTGGGACCGGTACTAGTCTAACTCCTCTCAGTGCTTCTGGATCCTGATATCTGCCATGGTCTTGCTGAGGTCCTGAGATTTCAAGTATCCAACTCCACGGTCAACCTGGAGTTGGCATTCTGGTTCTATAGAGCATTTACTTCCTCCTCGTGGTTCTTCTTGAAGAGCAGCTCCTCCTTGAGAGCCTCCATCTCCGTCTCCAGAGATATTGCAGCTGAGTGATATTGGTGTCATCAGTCACCTTTCGGGGCCCACTGATGTCACTCTCCACAGACTGGAGCATGGCCAGCTCTGTCTCATACTTGACTCTGAAGTCATCAGCAGCAAGACAGGCACTGTCAATCTGCAGAACAATGTGGGCATTATCCACAGAACTTGCAAAGATCTGAGCCCTCAGGTCCTCAATGGTTTTGAGATAATGCCCCATCTCTGACCTGGGGTCCCTTCTTCTTCAGGTGTTCCCAGATTATACTTTCCAGTCTCCGATTATTAGCCTCTGCTCTTCTCACCCTCTCCAGGTAGGAGGCCAGGCAGTCATGCAGTCATTGCTTAGTTTCCTTCTTGCTCTGGATGCCCCCAAAGCCCACTAGACCCAGGGCCATCCCCACAGCCATGCCCCCGGACCTCCAGCTGCCCTGCATGCTGGTGGAGTGGGACACGGAGATCTGGGAGACCAAGTCCCTGGTGCCTGCATAGATGCTGGTCAAGCTACTGGTGACTGGGCGACCACATGGAATTCAGGTTCGGAAGTTTGTGGAGAAGCTGGAGCGGGTGCTGAGGCTCATGTTGTTCAGGGAGGATGGTGAGAGGCTGAGACTCCGGTTCAAGCAGCCCACATTTTCTCTTTTTATGTGGATACCAATCATATTGGATTAGGGCCCATTCTAATGACATCACTTTAACTTGATGACCTCTGGTAAAGACACCATCTCCAAATAAGGTCACTCTCTGAAGTACTGGGGGCTAGAACTTTAATATATGAGTTTCACAGAAGACACAGTTCAATGATAACATGTGTCCTCATTGTAATTTTAAAAAAATGAAATGGGATGGAAAAGAATAGAAAACAGAAGGCATTGTATCTGTCTACATATGTGTGTGTATCCTGGGTTGCGATATAAAATGTCAGCAGTTAAAATGTCTAAAGCTGTGAATTTGGACTTTCAACTGAGGAAAAGTTCAAAGGAAGATTTCAAAGCAGTTTCCCCTCCACTCAAAAATGAATCTGGGTAGCGCTGCCTCGCTCCCTGCTACTCAAGGGCCAGAGTTATCTCGGTAGTTCATATCTGTAGGTCTGTTTTGGCTGTCTCTGTGCCTTCCTGATCCATGCTAGTCCAGATAGTGGGCCCCACTTATCCCCAGTTTTGCTTTCTGTGGCTTTCAGTGACTTGCAGTCAACCAAAGTCCAAAAATATTAAATGGAAAATTCAGAAATAAACAATAAGTTTTAAATTGTGTGCCACTCTGAGCAGTGTGATGAAATCTCGCAACATCCCACTCCATCTCTCCAGGGTCTGAGTCATCCCTTTGTCCAGCATCTCCACACTATGTGGGCTCCCCGTCCAGTCGCTTAGTAACTGCTTCGGTTGTTAGATCAACTACCATGGTTATTGCACCGCTCATGTTCCAGGAGTCCTCATTTTACTTATGATGCCCCAAAGCACAGGAGTAGTGACACTGGCAATTTGGACATGCCAAAGAGAAGCCATGAGTTGCTTCCTTTAAGTGAAAGGATGAGTACCAGAACAATATTTGGACAGAGAGACCACATTCACATAACTTTATTACAGTGTATTGTTATAATTGTTCTACTTTATTATTAGTCTGTCATAGGATGGTATATGGGAAAAAAACAGTCTATACAGGGTTTGGTACTGTCCATGGTTTCAGGCATCCACCAGGGTCTTGAAACGAATCCCCAGCGGACGACAGGGAACTACCATATGTGTATATCACCCACTTTTCTTCTCCTGTGTGTGTACAACTTGCCTTTATTACATTTTATTCTTTTGGTGCAGGAGTCCCTTTGTTCTTTTTTTCCCCCACAATGCCTTTACCCTTACTTAAAATTCCATTTGTAAAACTAATTTATTCTGAGCCTAACATTAAACTGAGTTACATGATATGAACTATATCTTATCTTTGTTAAGGGAAAATATTAGTTATATGCTGTGTGGAAGCATACCATATTTCAAGTAATTGTGGCATTAGGGCTAAAACTGTAAATCACATCTCCCTCTGCTTGGAGCCTCAAGCAAGGGCTCCCGGTGAAACTCCCAGAGATAGTTCTCTACTTACTGATGGAGGAAGTAGGGCTGGCCTTGGCTGTGTGCACTTGGTGCCTGAATAATGCTTCACTTTACTCAGAATTTAATCACATTTGAGACTTGGCATCTGTAGTCATCTGGGTGACTGTATTTTTTATGCATTTGAATCAATTGACAGGAAAATATGTCGTGTTATATCATTGCTGTTTCTCCTAAACTGTAGAAAGGAAAAGCCATTGGTGGGGGCTGCTTCCCTAGCCAGGTCTCGGAAGCGAAGGTCACAAAGAGGTGACATAAATGAACAGCTCAGAGCAGGCTGTTTCAGTCACACAGAATGGATGACTCTGTCTCTTTTACTTAAAAAAAAAAACAAAAACAACTTCTGTGCATCCTGATCAGTGTGGTAAACATAGCACCTTTTGCAGGTGAACTATCCAAGACCCAAAAGAGACAAATTATGTGATACGTCAGTTAGGAATAGAGATTAAGGCAATGAAAATCGGCCACAGAGCTGTAACTTTATAGTTCATCTTCCTTCCTGTTAATTGACTCTTGATTAAGAGTCAGAGGATATTAGAAATTTCTACCCCAATTCACGGTTACAAAATCTCTTTAAGAGAAACCAGTAGGTCTCCCGCTTGTACCCCCGCCCCCAACTACCCCCTGGAGTAGGAGTAAGAGGTTTAAATGTAACTCCTTTGTCAGCAATTCTGAATTTGGGGCCCAGCTTTACTTTTTTTTTAATTGATTAATTTTTTTTTTATTACAGATGTCCCTCCTTTTTCCTCCCATTGACACCCTCCTCCCTGCTCCACCCCACCCCCAACCCCGCCTTCACCGCGTTGTTGTCTGTGTCCCTTGGTTATGCATATATGCATATAAGTTCTTTGGTTTGTCCCTTAAACTATACTGATAAAATAAAAGTGAGAAGTAGGAACTGTATTTTAACCCATGAAAGAGATGCTCATGGCCATAAAACTGTTTTACAAAACATCTCTTATAAGAAGTGCAGATAAAAATGATTCCATTTATAGGGCCATCTTTAGTCTATAAAGGCTGAGATATGGTCAAACTGGCAAACTGGCACAGAGAAGGCTGTCTTTTTATTTTTATTTTTAGCCAGCCCATGTCTTCCCCCTAAAAAGATAGGACTCAAGTTGTGGACCAGTAAGAACAAGAACTCGAAGGCCGGCCGCTTTGTTCTCGGCGTCAGCACTTAGAATCACTGCACAGTCCGGCTTCCAGTGCAGGCTGAGTGAAGCTGGGAGCTGCTGGAGGCGCAGCGATCCCATCCTGAAAAGTGCGTGCAGTCCACCAGGTAGCTGCACCCTGCTGCTAAGGAGCCCTTTCACCCACCTCTTCTTCATATAATTACAAATGTATTCATCTTGGCAACTCTCTGGAATTTTCCCCCTTCTTACGTGACCAACTCTTCCCTGAATTTTTATACTGAAGGATATTCCCAGCTTACCTGATAGATGTTTCCTTACTTCCTCTACCCCACCTGTCTGGTTTCTTTAAACCTGATCTCGCCTCCTTCAGCCCCAAACAAAGGCTCACCTTTCCATCCATTCTCATCCTCTTGGACATCGTATCCAGGCATCCCCTCCTTCTTCAGAATCTTGTCTCTTCATCGCATTTTCTTCCTTCGGTTTCCCACAAACATTCACAAGAGTATCCGGAAAACGCATGGACACGAACTCAGAAGTGAAAAGGCCCACTTTAGATTAGATTCTGGCTCACCCACAGCTTTCTCTCTGACCAGAGGTTCTCTTCCTGAGGAACTCCCACCCACAGTTCTAGACCTAGACTGCCTTGCGTTGCTCATTATCTTCTTACATGTAAGAGCCAAGCTGTCAGCAGGATCCTTTAACAAGGAGCTTAGAGGGTTTTGTTGTATTTCTCAGCACCTAGCTGACTTGAGATCAAGACTATAGTCCATGTCTTTCAAGTCGAGTGGGACTTGGTATTCTAGATTACCTAGATAGAGCAAAGAAAAACAACTAGTTTTATTGAAAAATATTAGGGTAGTTCAAGCAGAAGTTGATTTGTGATGGAGTGTCTAAATAATACTGCCAGGGACCATCATAAGAACCTTTTACTGAAAAGTCCCCGGGTCCCTTCTCACGCCAGGGCAGTACTGTGTCTTCCTTTTTCATTATTTCAGACCCTAGAAATAAAGTTTACTTGCCTCTCTTCTTAACTACTGAACCACCCATCCAATTGCTTAGAATCAGAGCCTATCAAAGGTTGAGAAGGGCCCAAGCTACTTCCGTTTTGTAGAGTTCCTGGTATATTAAAAGATAAGTGAATTCTAAAATAGAATTCCCAAAATTGTCGTCTATTTGCCTATAACAATTTAGCACTTTTAACATATGCATTGTTATTACTCACAGGATAATTATAGTAATTATTAAAACTATTAATGTATATTTACCTGGCAGGGGAGATACCAGGGTCATGAAGGTGGTTTTCCCAGGGTGAGCCTCGCCCATGGCGCTCTGGTGTGCCGACCCCCGCGATTTCCCCAATGTGGAACCTCGACTGAATAATCTGTGGTAGTGGGGGGCTGTGTTTGCATTCTCCCCTGGTAAACAAACAAATAAATAAATAAATGCTAATGCATATCCTATAAGGGCTATGTGGTTGTTTAATGGGACATGGGATTAAAATGGGAAGATAGTTGTTTTCTTTCCATTGGTCAGTGTGTGTGATCCTCTGTGATTGTGTGCACATTCTTTCTTGGAGGTAACTTTCAAAGTCTAAGTTTGAGGCCCATTATGTGTGGAAGATCTCAGCCAAATAGCCTCCCAGGACTGCACACTGTTTCCTCCGGTGCACAGACATACAGACATATGGACACACTCCAGGTGACATGCCCTGTTAGAGATAAGATCTCTCCCAGACCAGCTCAAGGAAATCTCCCAGGTACCACCCTTTCTTGCTCTCCCTAAATATAAGCACACAGAACCACTAGGCTTTGAGAGGGAAAACAAAAATAAACAGAACGAAATAAAAAACAAGTATGCTTAAGTTATTAACTTTGGGAAATTTTGCCGAGGTTTTGTATTCTTAGTTCCTGTGCATACCTTTTACTTCCTAGGCTGATGTGGCATCTGGAAGCGCTGTGATTATGTTCCTCACTCTATTATTCTGAAGTCAAAGCTTATCAAAGCCACTCCCTTATTCTTTGTCCGTCTTTGGGGAAGTCCTCTTGCTCTAGCATGGTCCTTTGTCCTGGCCCTTAGATGTTCACTGTAGTCACACAGTCTTATACCCTACCCCCATCATTGAAGCTCTCTCTTAGGTAAGGATCTGATAAGCACATTACACCTAGATGTGTATTATTGCTCAGGCATACTTCTCAGACTTCCCAAGGACTTACAGTTTTAACCAAGGACAAGCCTACTTTTAAGGAGGAATAATTGATAAAGCTATAGTGCTGTATAGAATGTAAACTGCTTTTGCTGACTATTTAGGGATTTAAGTTTCTGACCTGATTCTCTGCTGTAAGTCATTTTCAGTTTTGAGATCTAGGCAGAACTGGTTAGTTGGTAACTAGGGTTTTACTTCTTGTTCCATGCCTTTAATGGACAGAAATAATAAAATCGGGGAAAGTCATTTACTTGCTCTTTAGACCTGCCTATGAGTTATATTTATCTAGAAAAGAATGAACATGATATTCAAGCATTCTGGCACGATACCTAATCCTTCAGGGAAAAAGGATATGGTGTCTAGCATTCCTGCTCAGAATTTTAATGATAAACTTTATTATAGTTTAGTGTATCATTGGCTTGCATTTTTGTAATTTTACAAGAAAATTTCCGTTTCCACATACCCATTAAATATCTGATTTATTTTCTTGGCTCATGATAATGCCTTTTAGCTATATCCCCAGCAAACCAGTGTCTGCATTGGACAAATATAAGACTAAATGTGATTAAGCTATTAAGTATTTTTAATTACCTTTTACTGTTCTTTAGATACAGTGTGTTTTTGAGGAAGCAGAGCAGAATTGGAATACCTTGGTATTAAAAAGCTTTATAAAGCAAGCATATGGACTTGGATTATTCATCATAATTGGCAGAGATTCTGCTGTACAGTCTTGCAACACCATCTCAACGTTCTTGCTCAAGGGAATATCATAATGAACACATTTACAGCCTAAGTTATGGAGAAGGGTGAAACAATTCTAAATCTTTATAGCATTTAAAAAAAAATCTCACCTGAGGATATGCTCCCCACCCCCCCGATTAAAAAAAAAATTATTTCAGAGAGAGATAGGAAGAGGGAGAGAGAGACAGAAACACCTACCTGAGAGAGAAACATCTATCTTCTGCTTCCTCCCCCAACTGGGGATGGAGCCCACAACTGGGGCATGTGCCCTGACTGGGAGTTGAACCATGGCCTCCTGGTGCATGGGAGGATGCTCAACCAACTGAACTACACTGGCCCGGGAAAGGATATGTTTCTATTGATTTTTAGAGATAAGAAAAGGGAGGGAGAGAGAGAAACACCAATGTGAGAGAGAAACATCGATGTGAGAGAGAAAGACCCTTCGTGGTCTCCTGCACTCACCCTGACCGGGGATCAAACGGCCAACCTAGGTATGTGCCCTGACCGGAACTGAACTCTGGTGTATGAGATAATGCTCCAACCAACAGCCATCCAATCAGGGCTCTTTATAACATTTTTATGTTCTGTCTTCCTTTTTGGTAATTAGATCCTGATTAAGAGATAGAATTAACATCCAGTAGGACATCAACACTTTTTGGCTTGAATCCTCTGTATAGCTTTTCTTAGTCTCTAGGGAGACAAGAAATAATTTACAAACTTTGTGATTCTGAAGCAATAAAAATGATGTGAAATGCATGTTTGTTGTTTCCTACAAGCCAATTACATTGTGCTTGTAGATGAATCTTTGGAGGAAAAAATAAGTAAATCGATGTCATTTTTTTCATATTACCTTATTATGCTTTAATTTAATCATCCTTTTAGTATCACGCCTTTGCCTCTGGTATCGATTCCTTAGTGCCAGGCAGTTTGTCAGTTGCTTGCCAGCAAATTTCCTTAGGTGACAATCACAGCGACACCTTCTACCCAACAGCGCATTTTGCTTTCAACGCTTTTTCACAGTCTCTTTTGTAAAACTAGTTTTATTGAGATATGTTTCACATGCCATAAAATTCACCCATTTAATATATAAAGTTTAATATATGTACAGAGCTGTGCAACCATCATCACAATCTAATTTTGGAACGTTTTAAATATCCCCCAAAGAAGCTCTGGTACTGATTACAGTCATTTCCCGTTCCTGCTCCCCTCATCTGCCCCCATCCCCAAGGAGCCACTAACCAATTTTCTGTTTCTCTAGATTTACCTATTCTGCACATTTCACACAAATGGAATCATACCATGTGCGGTCTTTTGTGACTGGCCTCTTTACTCAGCGTAATGTTTTCAAGGTTCACCCATTGTGTAGCATGAATCAGTACTTTGTTCCTTTTTATTGCCAAATAATATTCTATTATATAGCTATAGTACATTTTATGGATCCATTCATCAGTTGATGAACACTTGGGTTGCTTCCACTCTTTGGCTATTATGAATAACACCGCTGTGAACACTAGTGTAAAAGTTTTAAATAGACATATGTTTTAATCTAATTTTTTAAGGATGAGGAAAATCAGACACAGAATGCTAGAACCCAGGCTTCTGATTTCCAATAAAGCACTCTTTCTACAGAAATTTTAGAAATACAAATTATTTTTAAAACTCCAGTATCGTACATCGCTTCTGTTTCTGGACTGGATTTGCATCCAAAATGTGGGAACATATTTTGATTTTTTCCCTCAAAATCATCTTTGTATCTGTTCATATATCTCTTCATAATCCAAATTGCAGACAAGCAGTGATCCCATCCTTCTAGTAAGTCTTTGTGACCTGTTGCCTGTAATATAATAATTTTAAATAATAAGTAATTGTGAAGGAATTCTGTTGAGAGTTCTTCTGGAATGAACCACCCCTTGTTATGGGCCTTAGAATGCTGAGGAAATGGATGTTGTACAAAACGAATTGGGGTAATAAATCAACATAATGCAAACTATGTCAAATTAAAATTGAGTGCCTAAATGAGCTGTGATCACAAGTGAGCTACTGCTCCAAGCACAGAAACTGCGGCCAGCCAGCAGGCAGCAGCCCCCAGAAAGCCAGGCCTTTGAAAGCCAACCCACAGCAGCTAGTTAACAATATTTCCACTTGTGCCCTTCCTCGGAGTCTGCTTGGCTTCCTCACACTGGTTTCCTAGTTCTAGCCCCACAGTCTGGTTCACAGCTGCCTTTAGGTTGCCCTTTTGCACACACCTGGCTATTGGTCAGTTATTAGACCCATAGAATATGAACACTGAAAAGCACCATAGAAATGACCTAAATCATCCATCACTATTTTGAAGATGAGAAAAGTTAGGCCCACCAGGTTAAATAACCTGCTGACCTAAATCCATACTATTCTAGGACTCTTAAATCCTAATCCAGGCTAATCCCAACCAAGAAAGGCCTACTATTATTTTCAGAAATTAAATTTTTAGTTGAATAATTTTTAAAAAATTCAGTAAACTTAAAAATCCTTTTCAATGTTTTTCTTAGTTATGAGAATGTGACCTGTATATATTTTTTTGTTATGGAATATGCCAACATTCACTTTATGTTTACTTACCAATTTATAATATTCAGACTGCTTTCATATGCATTGAAATTTGTTTTCAATTATCAGAAGGACAGTTTAATATAGTGGTCAAAAGTAAGACCTTTGGCCCTGGTTGGGTGGCTCAGTTGGTCAGCATTCTACCATACTCCAAAAGGTTTCAGGTTCAATTCCCAGTCAGGGCACATATCCAGGTATCAGGTTCAATCCCTTGTAGGGCTCGTGCAGCAGGTAGCCAATTGATGTTTCTCTCTCTCTCTCTCCCCCTTCCTCTCTCTAAATATCAATTTTAAAAAATGTAAGATCTCTGGAGCCACACTACTCTGTGTTTAAATCCCAGCTTGTCCATTTAGTAGCTGTATGATCTTGAGCAAGTCATTTAACTTCTCTGTGTTTTAACTTCATCATCCTTATAATGGGGACAATTATACTTCCTAATTCAGAGTTGTTGTTGAACTAATACTGTACAGTATTCAGAACAATAAACACTCAGTGTTAGCTATTGTAATTACTGTCATAAAATTCAGAGAACTAGTTGTAAAGTATCTGAGGACCTAAGGGGTTAATGGTAAGCAGAAGAATCAGGGCAGGAACCTTGGCTGGAGTTTAGTGGCTCCCTGCAGCACTGCCTTTGGTGGAGTAAGCTGAATCCAGGTCTTCTGACACATGTGCAGGGTCCCTTTCACTTCACAGGAGGCCAACTGGGGAAGGCTTAAGTGACAGATCTGTACCTGCCTCAATAAGTGCATAAAGCAGGTTATAAAAATGGGCTGAACAAATGAGCCTAAGGATACACTATTACAGCGATATTCAACCATGGTGTCGCAAGAGGCAGACTGGTGTGCCGTAAGAATTTTCAAAACATGCAATACCTGACTATTTAGTCAG